ATGTTTGGGGAACCAGAACTTTTGGCAAACATGTGTTAGGCTGAGAATTCTGGAGATGGTTACCCAATCGCATCTGAAGAAATAAGTGGTGGGAAAGGTTGATGACATGAACGAAGCAATCCAAGGTTGAACTTTTATCCTCTGCTTTCTACAGGCAAAGCTCTCTGGTGGGATTAGCCTTATGATAAGATCACTGGCTTTCCCAGATTTGCTGAACTACAACTTCCAGGTGCTGATAATGCTAGGTTAGGGAAAAAGCTGTTTCCAACACCAGACTCCAAGAGAAATGTCCATTTCCATCAAGCCCCTCTGCTTGCCCTCCTAAGCTGCGAGTGAATCCTTGAGTGCTTCCATGTGCTGTTATTTATTTAACAGTGAAGCTATTCAAAGAGATGAGTCACCCTCTGGCCCAGCCCCAATCCTTCCACAGAACCCAGAAGAAGGAAAACACACACACACACACACACACACACACACACACACACACAAATGGAAATCACCACCGCCTGGCATCACAAAACTCTTTAACCCTATCCAACTCCTGCAACGCTTCCCTAGCAGCCACAACTCAGCCATTCTTCTCTCTTACTTCTATACAGACTTGGATCGCTTCCCTTGAGTACCTCTTTAGAGCCAAAACATCCATTAAATCTCTATCAGGCAAACAGTATTGCTATGAGAGTTTCGGGTGGAGGAATAGTCAGTCCCCCTTTCTCTGATGAACGCAATAAACCTATATCGTGAAAACACATCTAAAAACTGCATTTAGCTATTTCTCACTAGCTGCTCTGATAGGTAAAGGTAAAAGTTTCCCCTGTCTGACTTTAGGAGTCGGTGGCCATCTCCATTTCTTAGCCAAGGGAGCCAGCATTGTCCTAGGACCGTGATGGCGAACCTATGGCACAGGTGCCACAGGTGGCACACGGAGCCATATCAGTGGGCACGCGAGCATTGTCATAGTCCAGCTGCAGCATGCGTGCGTGCGCTGCCCAGCTGATTTTTGGGCCTTCCGGTCCCACCGGAAGTTGGGAAATGGGCTATTTCCGGCCTCTGGAGGGCCTCCGGAGGGGGTGGGGAAGGCTGTTTTTGCCCTCCCCAGGCTTCTAGAAAGCCTCCGGAGCCTGAGGAGGGTGAAAAACAGGCCTACCGGGCCCACTGTGCCATCACATGCTAAAAGCGTGGGGGGAGGCTTGGGGGTGGGGTATGGGCACGCATGTGGGCGACCTCCCCGCGTTCCCCCCGCTTTTGGCACGCGACGGCAAAAAGGTTAGCCATCACTGTCCTAGGACCTAGGATGCTTCCGTGGTCCATGTGGCCGGCATGAGTATGCATTGAGGTGCACAGAATGCGGTTACCTTCCTACCGAAGTGGTGCCTATTTATCTACTTGCTTTCAAACTGTTAAAGAGTTCAAAAGGAGCTGGAGCAAGTAGCAGGAGCAGCACTTGGGTCTTGAACCCTGGCTGTCGGCTTTCCAGTTAACAAGCTCAGCATCTTTTAACGCCTCCAATTTGCTCTGATAGTCATGTTAATAAGCTCTTCTCACATGAAGAACTGCCACTAAACAAATTAGCCTTGCTAAAGGCTCAGAATTGTGCTAACCTTGCAAAAGATGCTGTTTCCTCCCGCCCCCAGTGGTTAAAACTACTATTTTGCATTTCCCACAATGCATCAGAGCCATGCTAAATTAAATGCATTCTGGGAAATGGAAATTTGCCACTTCCCACAGCAAGACATTCTGGAAACTTCCCACAAGCTGGTAGTTTTGAATGTGACAGATGCTGACGTGGGAATATCAGAAGACTTAACATGAGAGAGAAAGTCCTTTCAGATGGAAAACATGTTTGCTGTCTTCAGAGACAGCGAGATCTTTTGGGCACTGACGAAGTCTTTCTGTTGAAAGCATTTTTATTTCCGTTGGTTGTCATCAGCGAGTGCAAAATGTTTTGAATTCCAAACACCCTACTTTGAGCGCCAATCAATCACCCTGCTTCATGTTAAAAACTCTGAGCGCAAAATAGGGTGTTTTCAACTATTCTGGAGGAGTTTTAAGCTGAATTTATAGAATTTTGAACTTGAAACTCCTCTAAAAACTATCAAAACAGTCATTTTCGTGCTTGAAATCAGGTATTTCTGACCCAGATTTTTTTTCTCCAATTCACATCCCTTCTAATTAAAAGGAGACAGCAAAAATTCTAGCACATTTTTTTTTGACGGTTCTCATAAGGTCCGTGGACAATTCTTAAAAGCTGTTCGAATTCAGTTCTAGTTTTAAGTGTCTACATAACTCCAGAACAATTATTTTTCTTCTTCTTCTTCACCCATTAAGTAATGTATAGTTTTTACTGCTTTAAGTATTTCAAATCACTTTCCAATTTGCCTCAGATTCGTTTAACAACCATGGCAAGAAAGGTCATAAAATTGGATGCAACTCACTTAGCAATTGCCTTACATAGCAATGGAAATTCTGGCCCCAATTGAGGTCATAAGTTGGGGACTACCTGTATATGTAAATGGGGAGACATGATAGCAGTCTTCCAATATTTGAGGGGCTGCCACAGAGAGGAGGGGGATCAAGCTATTTTCCAAGGCACCCGAAGGCCAGACAAGGAATGATGGATGGAAACTGAACAAGGAGAGATTCAACCTGGAAATAAGGAGGAATTTTCTGACAGTGAGAGCAATCAACCCATGGAACAGAAGTTGCCTTCGGAAGTTGTGGGAGCTTCATCACTGAAAGCTTTCAAGAAGAGACTGGGCTGCCATCTGTCAGAAATGGTGTAGGGTCTGCTTGGACGGGGGGTTGGACTAGATGACCTACAAGGTCCCTTCCAACTCTGTTAATCTGATGTATGACAAGTCTTTTTTCACAATAACTGTACCTATTTACTTTAATGAGTCTGTCTTGCGTGCAATAGCTCGGGCAGCAAGCTGAACAAGTCTGAACGCATAGACCCAAGCAAGGTTTTGTAAACCACCAGGAAGTAGCCTTAATGTGCACAGTATACAAAACATTCAGCCTATTGCAACAGAGAGAGGGGGGGTGGAGAGAGGGGGGAGGGGGAGACAGGGAGAGAGAGGCAGGCTCCTTGATCTAAGTCAGGGGTCCCCAAACTTGGCAGCTTTAAGACTTGTAGACTTCAACTCCCAGAATTCTCCAGCCAGCATAGCTGGGAGTTGAAGTCCACAAGTTTTAAAGCTGCCAAGTTTGAAGACCTCTGGTCTAAGTCAAAGTCGGTTTTTTGGCAATACTACAGATCAGGTGCTCCCTGTAAGTACACACAAGTCATCCTGCTCTGCAAAGCAAACAGGATTTGCAGAATGCAATTAAAAAAAAAAATAGACATTTGCCACAGAGAAAAGGGAGTGACTCAAGCAGTGTTGGTTGTTCAGATCCAGGAAGAGACCCAATCATCTAAATATTGGATTGGTTATTCAATCAAGAGAGTTAATACACTTTTGGGAAACGGTGACTTCATGCAACGGATTGGGAGAAGGCCAGGAGCAAGCGAGGAGGGTATGTGCAGCAACCCCAAAATGTTTCCAGCTGTTTGGATACTATCCAACCCAAGGAGGCCAATTTACCATTAGCCTGATTTCATCTCCACCCTTTGTCTCCCATTTCCATTAAGCTCTTTGGCTAAATACAGTCTCAGCTAGAAAGTGGTATGGACATGTCCAGAGAGCAGCATCTTCCACCGTGGCCAAGACTGCCTACCAACTAGAAGTCAATGGCCGGTGACCTCGCAGGCGCCCAAAAGAGAAATGGCAAGACACCATCAAGATATGCAAGCCATGGGCCTGCGCCCTGGAGATGCAACTAACCGTGCAAAGTGATGTTCAATGATCTGAAAAGCAGACCCTGCACCTGTGGGAATACGCTGGGACAGTGGTGGCGAACCTTTTTCTCGTCGTGTGCCGAAAGCATGCACGTTCTGGCACCCATAATGCAATGCAGCCCCCGTGCATGCACGGATGACCCCCCCCTGCCCCCCTGCCCCCCATGCAGATGCACACGTGACCCCCCCACATGCTTGGGCCTAGCAGGCCTCCCTGCAGCCTCCTGGGCCCAAAAACGGGCCGTGAGGGAGGATGCTGCACACAACCCTGCACCCCCACGCATGCATGCGCCTTCCCATGCATGCATGCACGTCTCCCGCATGAGCCCAGCCCCCCCGCACATCCCTAAAATCAGCTGGCTGGTCGGAGGCATGTGCGCATGTACGGTAGAGCTGAACTGGGCGACGGCTTGCGTGCCCGCAGAAAGGGCTCCGCGTGCCAGTTGTGGCACACGTGCCATAGGTTTGTTTTATATTTTTTTAGCTTTCTAATTCCTTCTGCCTGTCCTTCCATATGCTGGTCTTTGATTGCGATATAGGTTGATTTGATATTGTATCTTGAGACAGAAGGGGAGATGATGCTCCCACCTGCGAAAAATGGGTCTACCGGAAGTTCCAGAAGGCCGGAAATGGCCCCATTTCTGGCCTCCAGAGGTACTCTGGAGCCTGTGGAGGGTGTTTTCGCCCTCCCAGAAGCTCAAGAAAAGACTCCGGAGCCCGGGGAGGGCAAAATCGCCCCTCCCTGCCATGGTGCAGGAGGCTGACTAGGTCGCACCCACCATGGCCACGCCCACCCAGCAACTGGGCAGAGAACCCCTTGCTAAAAATTTTGAAGCCCACCCCTGCATATTGCCCCCAACAATCTGGGCCCTCATTTTACGAACTTCGGAAGGATGGAAGGCTGAGTCAACTTTGGGCCGATCAGGATCAAACTCCTGGCACTGAGCAGAGTCAGCCTGCAATACTGCATTCTAACCACTGCGCCACCATTGCTGAGCCACCAAAAAATCACTGCGGGGTCACCAAAGTGTTAGCAAGCCCACTGTTGACTGTAAGCATGCAGATGGGTTGTCGATTCAGATACAACGAAGTTATTCGCTGGGGCCGAAAGTTCTTTTCCGCCCATAAAAGGCACTTATGACTAGAAGAAGCCGTTTCCTACCTCACACATCTGCAGCTGGAAAGTGCGGCGTTCCTTCTGCAGGTCCTCCGTGATTTCGGCGGCCGAGGGTTCAGTCTGGATGACTCCAGATATCTTGGCTCGCTCCTTCTCCTTTTCCAGCTTTGCTCTAAGGCAACAGAGAATCCCAGCGGCAACATGACAGACAGGGTTGGAAATAATTTATGATTGTATGAACGGTGTGCGGGGAATTCTACAGGTGGATGAGGCTGCAATCTGTCTGTAACTTGCGGTCGTATTTTAATACAGATTGCAATGCAGGGAAACGCCTTAAGGTCTGGATCAGGCTGTGATCTACTTGGCTCAATCCAGGTCAAAAGACGGACTGGCAGCTGCTAATCACACGGCAGCCTTTCTTCAAGATGCCAAGATCACATTGAAGCATTTTACCACAACTACAGGCGAGTCCTCAACTTACGAACACAATTGGGCCCAAAAATTTATGGTGTCAAATGAGACATTTCTTAAGTGAGTTTTGCCTCATTTTACGACCTTTCTTGACACAAGATTTTTAAGTGAATCTCTGCAGTTGATAAGTTAGTAACCTGGTTGTTAAGTGAATCGAGGTTTCCCCAAGGACTTCAGAAGGTCCCAAAAGGGGGATCCCGTGATCTTGGGATGCAGCAACCATCGTAAGTATGAACCAGTTGCCAAGCATCTGAAATTTGATCACATGATCATGCGGATGCGGCGAAGGTCATAACTGTGAGAAACGGTCGTAAGTCGCTTTTTTCATTGCCGTTGTAACTTTGAACGGTCACTAAATGAATTGTTAAGTCGAGGACTGCCTGTATCTATCCCAGGGTTTACCCACGTATTTTTCCCAGCTCATTTTATTTATTATTTTATTTATTTATTTAATTATTTTATTTATTTATTTTTATATGCCGCCCTTCTCCAGAGACTCAGGGCGGCTTACAATGCGTTAAGCAATAGCCTTCATACTTTTGTATATTTTATACAAAGTCAACTTATTGCCCCCACAAACCGGGTCCTCATTTTACCCACCTTAGAAAGGATGGAAGGCTGAGTCGACCTTGAGCCTGGTGAGAATTGAACTCGCAGTAATTGCAGGCAGCTGGATGTTAAATGCTGCCTTAGTAGGAGGCATTAGCCTCCTACGCCACTCAGGTTCAGCATGCAAATGATACCCTCAATTTGGGCCGCGCACAGCTTTGGGTTCAAAGAGAAAAAGGCAGTTTGGTGAATACCCTTTTATGGGCATTTTCCTAGACCCGGCGTCTCCACACCAGGCAACTTTAAGACTTGTGGACTTTAATTCCCAGAATTCCTCTGCAGGAGTTCTGGGAGTTGAAGTCCACAAGTCTTAAAAGTTGCCAAGTTTGGAGATCCCCTAGGCCCATCAACCACTCCTTACAGCAGTTGCTTCTTCCCTGAGGATTGCATGGATGCTTTCCGGAATAGCAGTGCCATCCTGAGAAAATATGTGGCATAGGTTAGGCCTATAAGTACCTGTCTACAACTTCTTCATCAAAGTGTGTCTCCAGGGATTGCCCTGCAGCTGCAGAAGACAACAAAGCATTCCCAGAAAAAAAAGAAGTGGCTGCTTTAAGAAGTGATTGACAGGTATTAGGTAAGTATCCAAGTGTTCTTCAAAACACCTTTTTGCTTTTGGGATCCATAGCATTTTATTATCACTCTGGCCAGGAAAATACTGGATAGCTCAGAGGCACGTTGTAAAGGACACTCTCGTTGGCTGGCTGACCCAAATCCCATCAACCTCCCTTCTGGCTTGTCCACAACAAAACACTTTTGTTTAGGAGAAGATGGAAGAATAAATCCGCTCCCTGCCAGAGGCAGTAGGGGTTGGTTACTCACACTTTGGTCTCGTAATCCTTCCAAGCCTTTTCAATTTGCTTCTTGGAATCCTGCCCAGGGAAAGAGAAGAAAGGAGAAGGAATCAGCAAGGGAGTCACTGGAGGAAAAAAACACGCACCCATATCATGGGCCAAAGTTCCTCCTGCCCACCCGCTACCCCAAAAAACCTGCAAACACATATTGATCCCTGCATTGATGATATTTGAACCATCCCCACGAGGACTGGAGGCTGGAAATCTGGGTTTCTCAGGCACCTTCATAGCAATGAGCCACAGTGGTGCAGTGGTTAGAGTGCAGTCCTGCAGGCTACTTCTGCTGGCTGCCTGCTTCCTGCAATTTGGCAGTTCGATTCTCACCAGGCTCAGGGTTAACTCAGCCTTTCATCCTTCTGAGGTAGGTAAAATGGGGACCCAGATTGTTGGGGGGGCAATATGCTGACTCTGTAAACTGCTGTAAAGAACGGTAAAGCGGTATAGAAGTCTAAGTGCTAATGCTAATAGCAATAGCGTTTTAGGCTTATATAATGCCCCATAGCGCTGTCCAGCACTCTCTGGGTGGTTTAAAAAGTACAACCATCATTTGCATATTGTCCCCCAACAATTCTCGTTTTATTGACCTCGGAAAGATGGAAGGATGAGTCCACCTTGAGCCCCGTCAAGATCGAACTTCAGAGTTTGCCTGCAATACTGCATTTTAACCACTGCGCCACCAAGGCGCCTTCATCGTTTTAGGGCTCGCCAGGGTACCTTTAACCATTGCATCCACCAGGACACTTTCATCATTTTAGGAACCCAATGCTATTGGCCCATGGAGAAGATAGGTTTAGTAGCCCTATGGCCAGGTGTGTTGTCCAAAGAAGTGTGATGTTGGAGATAATTTTTTTAAGTGTTTTTAAGTGTTTTGTTTATTGTTTTTAATTAATGGGGCCAAATTTATATATGTATATTTTAACTGTATTTTAATATTTGTATTTGATGTTTTTACTTGGCTGTTCACCGCCCTGAGTCCTCAGGGAGAAGGGCAGTATACAAATTCAAAATAAAATAAAATAAAATAAAATAAAATAAAATAAATAAAATAAAATAAAATAAAATAAAATAAAATAAAATAAAATAAAATAAAATAATAATAAAAATAAAAATAATAATTAAAAAAACAACTTTATTATGGTCATAGACCAGCAATAGACAAGAATCATCACTGTTTACAATAGTGTTAAAATATAGTACTAATAATAATAATAGTGAATAGTAACATCCACGGTAATAAAATATATGGTCTCACAGTTTGGATCATGCCCTTGTTTACATAATTGAATAGCGGATGTGTGTAAATATAGTTTCTCTAAAAATTGTTAGAGATATCTACCAAAAATTGATGCAAGTACCACATCTTTAATTCTGTAAACCAAATTTTTCCTTGTGGTCATTGCAGCAGCGCAAAATTCTGCTATTGCATGCGTGGTAGCCGGATTTGAGCGACGGAAGAGATAGTCTACATAAAAATTATCTACCCTCCCTGGTAATCTCTCTAATAAGAGGAAACTATACATTGACCTATAAACTCTGTATAACTCACAGTACAATAAAACGTATGTATCATGTATCTTTGACTTCTCCTTTACCACATATACATACTCATTCCACTATTGGGGGTGATGTTGGAGATAGAAGAAACATGTATTGGGAAAAGCATAATAAAGTAAAAATCTATTTGGGGGGGGGGTGGAATAGAAGTTTAAAAAGAGAAATAAGCTCTTGTTCAACATTCTAGCATCAGTGCTTATTGCATTCCTGAGAACACCAAAATATGAGATTATCTTCAACTAGGCATTCCTCTGGAAACAATTTGCATGTTTTTCTTTACTGCAATGGCACCCCTCCACCCACCCCACCCACCCCAATATGGTATCCACCATAGCATTTATCCTAATTTTTAATTACAGGAATTTTTCAGGTCAAGCATGGATAGGAATAATAACAAAAAAAAAAGTTGATTCCAGAAAGGGCCAAAGTCAACATTAAACGCGAGACGTTTCTTTTGTTTGCTCTGTTTGTGGTGTGCTGGGAGAATTCCTTTCAGGTTCTCAGCATCTTTTGCACAATCCTGGAAAGAGATGTGACTGCTTTAATGAGTCATGCACAGCTGCTCCAGTCACAGCCCCGGGTCTCAAAACACCTCTTTCTGAGTCAATTTTTTTTTAAAAAAATATTTTATTGATTTTCAAACATTTAAAAAAAAACCCAAAAAAAAACCATAAATGCAAAATTACAAAAAAGAAATTTTTTTTGCAAGACTGTGACCATTTACACAACATACCACTACAAAATTCTTATACTCTATACATTTTACTTCATCCAATTCTACTATGCCTGAATCTGTTTTATTTTTCTGTTTTCAATCCATTTGTACCATTTCTCCCATGATATATAATACTCTCTGAGTCAAATCTTTTAAAGCATTGCCATAGCACGAATGCATCAAGACTTATTCAATTGGAGCGTAACTTCTGGATACAGAGCTGCATCTCTGTAACTTACTTGGCAGCCAGATGGAAGGTGTTTAGCATTACCTTTAATCTGGTCTCCCATCCAAGTAGTAGCCAGGTTCATCCCTGCTTAGCTTTTGTAAGACTAGCCAAGATCATTCAACAACCAAGATGAACTAGCACGTTGTAAAACATCTCCAAGGAAAAAGATCAATTAATTATACAGTTTTCTGATGAGCCCTGGTAGATCAGGCGCATGGCCCAGTATTCTGTGTCTCACTTACAGAGGGATTATTATTATTCTATACACAAGAATGTGAAATGACAACTGCCGGGTTTTTTTTAAGATGGTGTTGGCCTTCATACACATCGAATTCAGAGGTGGGATTCAGCCGGTTCTGTCCGGTTCGGGTGAATCAGTCGTGGCAACTCCAGGAGGCTCCACCCACCCACCTGGATATAATGCGCGAGCACTATGCATGCGCGGAAAGCCGGGCGCTCACATTTGTGAAGTGGTAGGGCAGGTAAGTGAATCCCACCTCTGATCGAATTCTTCTCAAGAACCCAGGTTGTCATAATGCATTGTGTTGTCCATGTGCAGTGTGGCCTTTTGTAATTGACAGATGGAAATGTTGTCAGTGCACAGATTTTCCAAGTACCACTCAGGATTTTTTTTGATACAGCACCCAGTGTGCCATTAAACACTGGGACCACCGGAACCGGTTTATGCCTAAAGCAGGACTAGAACTCACAGTCTCCCAGTTTCTGGCCTGAATCCTTACCCACTACACCAGGGTTCGGCAACCTTAAACACTCAAAGAGCCACAAAGGTCCTAACCGGAAGCCCCCCCATTCAATTCTGGAGCCGACAGGAAGTCCAATTCCCCCACCATAGAGTCTCCTCCTAGCACGGCGTCCTTTTTCCTCTACCTGCCCTAACCAAAAGCCCTATCAATTGTGGAGCAGACCAGCGACAGGGAGCCACAGCAGAGGGATGAAAGAGCCACATGCGGCTCCAGAGCCGCAGGTTGCTGACCCCTGTACTACATCAATCTGGGTGTCACAGTGGGGAATAGGTTGCATTTATTTATTATTACATGTATGTAGTATAATAGATGAATTACATTATCTTAGCTTTCGATTGAATTCTGATTTGGAGTTGGAATAAGGTTAACATTAGGATTATTATTAGATTTACCACTAGATTACATTAGAGAAACTATTGGGCCACTTACTGTAAATCAAAAGTCAAAGAAGAAAAGGAAGAACAAAAAAAGCAGTGGTGTCCCCAGGGTACATACAGTCAAGAAAGTCAAGAGAACAGCCGTAACAGTGCGACCAAAACTCTGTGTCTCTTTTATATGCATTGCACATAGTTTCAATCACACTCTCACAACCATTTAATGGACTGTTTTGACTACACCCTGCAGGCACTCCTGGAAACAACCCTACCCACCCATGCACTTCAAAAACTAAGGCTCTGCAAAATAATTCCGCTTTTAATTACGCACGAAAAGGCAAACAGTTAAGAGAGGCAATCAAATCTCCATGGTGCAGTCACTCTACAACCAAGGCACCCCAAGAGGAAGACAGGGCCAGTCGACTTCCACCCCATTCGCCTCACCAAAGCGGGGAACATATGAATCAGGCAGGTTGAAACTGGGTAAAGCAAGGGTTCCCAACCCCCGGTCGGTGAACCAGCACCAGTCTGTGGCATGTCAGCAACCAGGCCAGGCAAACAAGCAAAGCCCCATTTGTGGGATGCAGGCAGCATGTAAAATCATGCCCCCCCTCCGGTTCGGTCCTTTCTCCACAGAACCGGTCCCTGGTGCCCAAAAGGTTGGGGGCCGTTGGGCTAGAGCATTTGAGAAGCTCACAAATCTGGTTTTAAAAAGGAGAATGACAGACAGACAGACAGAGCCCTTCCAATGTCATTTCCCAGAATTCAGCATTAAGGCAAGTTGCCTTTGACTCGGAATACTGCCAATCAGCTGTTCTAGGCGGCGGGGATTGCCGCCGCCGCTTGCCACTGATCGCCGCCGCCTAGAACAGCTGATCGGCGGTATTCCGGAAGGCCAATCCAACCCCCAATCAGCTGCTCAGTAGCGAAGGCTCCAACATTCCCCGCCGGCGGCCGGCAGCAGCGGGCAATGCCGCCACCGGACCAACCCCCTCCCCCTGCCGCAATATTTGCTCCATAAGACCAGTGGTGGGATTCAACCGGTGTAACAACCGGTTCATGTGTGCAGTGAGTTTGAAAACAGCCCTAAAAGTTACCTTCTACTGCAACCCCGGTGAGTAAAACAGCTGAGGCGCAGCAGTCTGCTGTGCTGCGCCTATCAGCTGGGCTTCAAACAAAGGAAATATAGGTCGGGGCGGGTGGGTGGGCACAGCTGATCATCGGAGCGAACCAGTTCACTCTCAGCCGATTGTCAGAGCAACTGGTTCACCCGAACTGGCTGAATCTCACCTCTGCATAAGACACACAGACATTTCCACCCCTTTTGTGGGAGGGTGGAAGTGCGTCTTATAGACCGAAAAATACGGTAGTTAAAGGTTTCCCTGTCCAGTTGTGTCCAAGATGAGCAGTGCTCATCTCCATTTCTTGGCCAAAAGAGCCAACGTTGTCCAAAGACAATTTCCGTGGTCGCGTGGCCAGCATGGCTATATGCCACAGGCACACAGAACACTGATACTTTCCCACTGAAGTGGTACCTATTGATCTATTCACATGTGCACATTTTCAAGCTGCTAAGTAGGCTGGAATTGGGGTCACTAATGGGAGCTCACCCCATTGCAAGGAGCTTGGGTCTCAAACCCTGGGCTGTCAGCTCTTTAGCTGACAAGCTCAGCATCTTTCACTGCTGATCCATTGCACCCCACTAATTAGCAAGCAACCTTTAATGCCAGTAGCCATCATATCCTGATACTCTACTCTTCTTTTAAAACCCAATAGGCTGCCTTTATCACAACAGGCAGCAGTGAATTCTGCAATTTAATTATGAACTGAGTAAAAAGTATTTCTTTTAATGGCCGCAAGTCTTTCTAACATCTGCCAACAGACCACTGGACAAGAGGTGGTCATTCATGCATTCCCCAATACTTACTCTTAAGTAGTGAGGTAAGCAACCTTTTTAGATCTACCACTTCCCGCCCCGCCTGCTTTACTTAACCCGTAGTGATCTGTTAAGTCCCACTGATTGGCAGCCCCCTAAAAAAAAACCCACAGCGCTACTAAAGAATCAGTTCCTTAGAAACAGCACGCAGGGAACTATTTGATGTAAAGAAATGGCCTGTAGCAATGGGGAAAAAATCGTTCCCTCTGCCAGAAAATCAACACCACAGAAAGGGCCCGCAAAGAAAACAGAAAACTGAGTGAGCCTGTTTTACGGAACAAAGCAGGTTTTCCTGTTTAGCCAGTTTACAATGGATTAAGCATCGGGGGAGAAAGCAGAGAAACACAACAAGAAAAGGAAAAAAACGAGCAGCATTGGTGCTTGATTTTAACTGCGTGCACATTGACAGCCATCGTTCGTTCGAACCGTATAGAATCATGGTCTGCCGATAGAGCCAAACTGCTATACAACTGCAGAAGCTTGAAATGAAATGAAATGAAATGAAATTTCATTCATAAGAGCCTGGTGGCACAGCAGACTAATAGCCTGTTATTAACATTCAGCAGTCTGCAATTACTGCAAGTTCAAATCTCTCCAGGCTCAAGGTTGACTCAGCCTTCCATCCTTTCTAAGGTAGGTGAAATGAGGACCCAGTTTGTGGGGGCAATAAACTGACTTTGTATAAAATATACAAAAGTATGAAGGCTATTGCTTAACGCACTGTAAGCCGCCCTGAGTCTCCGGAGAAGGGCGGCATATAAATCAAATTCTTTTAAAAAAATGAAAAAAGCAAGTTACCAATACGAGATGATTCTGAAGAGTCTGGGAAATCTCCGAATGGAAAGGGAAGTTAACAAAAGCGAGCAGAGCAAAGCCGCATTTTCTACGGCCATGAAATGAGCCTCTATTCTTGGCCTACCTTACGTTGCAAGCAGTGGTGGGTTTCAAATTTTTTTTACTCTGGGTTCTCATTTTATGGACCTCGGAAGGATGGAAGGCTGAGTCAACCTTGGGCCCCCAACAGCATCGAACTCCAAGCTGTGGGCAGAGTTAGCCTGCAATACTGCAGCCTAACCACTACGCCACCGGGGCTCTCTCAAATATATCTCTGCCCATCCCAATTCCAAGCCTGCATTTCTCCCCCAGGTAAATGATTCCCAATTCCTTAAGAGAAAAAACTAAACCTTACCAGCCGGGTGTCCTTCAACTGCCCTTTCAACAGATTGTCCAGAGGAAAGGAGACTATGTTGTTCAGATTCTGCACCTAGAAAAAGACGAAAGAGGAATCTTGCTTACACACCTCCAAACAAAGAAAAAACAATCTTGAATGATTATCAAATCTGCCCAGGCTCATCAGTAATTTGTAATATCCAGGGGTGGGATGCTGGGGGTTCACAGAGGTTCGGGAGAACCTCTAGCAAAGATTCTGTGCAGTTCGGAGAACCCCCAAATCCCCCTCCTGGCTGGCCTCATTCACCCCTCCCCACCCCTCCCAGGAGTCCCCATGCGGCCTGTTTGGATGCAGGTAAGTGCAGGGTGTGCACAGAGGCTCAGGGAGGGCAAAAAATGGGCCTACCAGAGGTTCGGGCCCGTTTCCGGCCTCCAGAAGGCCTCCGGAGCCTGGGGAGGCCATTTTTGCCCTCCTGGAGGCTCGAAAAAAGCCTCCGGAGTCCGGGGAGGGCAAAAACACACACCCCGCCATGGTGCAGAAGGCCGACTAGGCCACGCCCACCATGGCCACGCCCACCCAGCAACCAGGCAGAGAACCCCTTGCTAAAATTTTTGAAGCCCACCCCTGGTTATGCCCAATTTACAAACGGTTGAAAATAATCCCAGATGGTAGAGAGAGAGAAAAACTACTTAAGTTCAAAACAGCATTAAAAGCTACAGCCAGATGAGCAGCCAGAGAACTCCGTACAGAAGCCCTTCTCAAACCACTTCGTATTTAAAATCTTTAACAATGAAATTGTTCGTACTGATGGAAAGGTCACGCGAATACTACAGGGAGTCTTCAATTTACAACCGTTCCTTTAGTGACTGCTTGAAATCATGATGGTGCTGAAAAAAAATGATTTATGACCCGTCCTCACACTTATAACCATTGCAGCATCCCAAGGTTAATGCAATCGTGATCTCAGGTGCTTGGCAACCATAGTTACGATGGTTGCAGCATCCCGGGTTCACACAATTGCCATTTGCAACAGGGGTGAAATCCAGCAGGTTCTGACAGGTTCTGAAGAACCGGTAGCAGAAATTTTGAGCAGTTCGGAGAACTGGCAGTGGAAATTTTGCGTAGTTCAGAGAACCAGCAAATACCACCTCTGGCTGGTCCCAGAGTGGGGTGGGAATGGAGATTTTGCAATATCCTCCCCCCAGGAGTGGGGAGGGAATGGGAATTTTGCAGTATCCTTCTACCAGGAGTGGGGAGGGAATGGGGATTTTGCAGTATCCTTCCCCCAGGAGTGGGGAGGGAATGGGGATTTTGCAGTATCCTTCCCCCAGGAGTGGAGAGGGAATGGGGATTTTGTAGTATCCTTCCCTTGCCATGCCCACCAAGCCACGCCCACAGAACCGGTAGTAAAAAGAATTGGATTTCACCACTGATTTGCAAGCTTCCTAGCTGGCTTCCGACAAGCAAAGTCAATGGAGAAGCTGGCAGGAACGGTCCTCACTTAACGACCATACCACTTAAAGAAAATCTTTCCAGTTCCAGACGTGGTCATAATAAAGGACAACCTGAATAGATTTCCGCAAAGCTTTGTTTGTGAATTTCAATGTGCAAAAGATGAGATACGGGCCATAAGCTAGAACAGCTTCCCTTCCCTCTAGGGCTAGAGAAGAGGCCTTTTCCCATTTCCAGAATTTTTAGGACGGCCTCAGAAGAATGTTGGCAGTTGAATCCTGCCACAAACCACCTTTCCTGTTCAGCCATGCAGGCAGGCAGGCAGCCCTTCCCCAAAGGCCACATTCTAAAACTGGGGTGGAGATTCCCAAAGCTTCAAATCAAAAGAGGCCAAAAGACAGAGAAATCCTTTCGGTTCAGCCAGAAGTCTGGAAAAGCTGGGAGACGAAACCACATGGCAGCATCAAAGTCTCCAACTAACCTCCATTGGAAGGAATGGGGTTGGAAGAGGAGAAGAATTAGAGGAGGGGGGGGCAAAGCCGCCAACATCTGAGCCCAGATGGCTGCCCCCCCCCAATTTTTATTATTATTTTTTTTTAAAGCGCCACCCACAGGCTTGAAATAAACAGAAGCTGTGGGATAGTTTTGATCAGGTACAGATGTGCTGGAGACGCTGCTAGGAAAATCAAAGTTTCCACACCCAAAACGGGCTTTTCTATTGAGCAAGGAAAACGTGGAGTGAGTGTCCAAGGGGCTTCACCCGTGTCATGAAAATGACACATATTCTATAACAGGGGTCCCCAACCTTTCGGACCTCGGGGACCACTAAATTCATCATTTTAAATCTTGTGGACCACTAATATGATCTGCCTAATGATGGGCTGGGTGGGTGTGGGTAGGTGGTCACGTGACTGGGTGGGTGTGGCCAACTCGATGTCACTCACATGGAGGGGCGCTTCACTAGCCTCTACTCACCCCTCCCCTCCCAGCCACTCCTCGCCTCCCCTCCCGGGCTCCTTAGGGCCCCAGCAGGAAGCAGTTGTTGGAGCTAAGCAGCCACCACGAGAAAGAGTTGGCAAAACAGCTCAGTTCAAATTGGATCTGACCAAGAAGGAGGCTCAGCTGAAGCACCTCACTGAGGACTACAAGCATAGGATTTCCAAGCCGTGGGAAGACTTGCGGGAGTACAAGGCCAGGTACCAGCGCCTGGAGGCTCAGCAGGCTGAGATGGTCAGCCAGTTCCAGGCCATGATGCAGTCCCACTGGAACAAGGTCCTCCGGCTCTTTGCCACCAGCAGCACTTCCCTCCAGCCTTCGCCCAAAGCCCCGCACCAGGAGGCTGAAGCAGACCCCAAGTCAGAATTTCTGCCCCCCTCCAACCCACACAAAAAGACCCCGAAGGGGGAGACTCTCTGCAGCAACACAAACGTTCATTGCATGTAGCCATCCCAGGGGCCATAGTTTGAGGAACCCTGATTTAGTGCAATATAAAAAATGCAAATAATTTACTGCGGACCACCAACACAGACCACCAGTTGGTAACCACTGTTCTATAATGTGCAGCCCGAAGTCATAACAAACAGAACTCAGCTTACAATTTGGACCAGAGTTTCTGTTGCTAAGCAAGATGGTTCTTAGGTGGTGCTGCGCCTGATTTTACAACTCTTTTTTTCCCATGGTTGTTAAGTGAATCACAACCATTGTTAAGTGAATGAGGTGGTTGTTAAGCAACACCAGCTTCCCACCATTGACTTTGCTTGTCAAAAGCCAGCTGGGAAGGACTCAGATGGCAATCAACATGAGCCCGGGATGGTGCAACCATCATAAATACATGCTGGTTCCTGAATCACGTGATCTGGGAAAGCTGTGACAATCATTAAGTGTGAAAAATGGTCATCAATCACTTTTTTCAGTGCCGTTGTAACTTGGAGCAGTCATTGAATGAATGGCTGTAAGTTGAGGACTACCTGTACATGATATCATTGAGGCTTCCAACCAGGAAGCTCCGGCAGCTTCATATGTAACTAGATAAATAACAGCAGCCTTTCCCAAACTTATGAGCTATAGATCTGCTTCAGGTGCAATTTCCATCATCTTCTTTAGAATGGAATGGAATGGAATGGAATGGAATGGAATGGAATGGAATGGAATGGAATGGAATGGAATAGAATAGAATGGAATAGAATAGAATAGAATAGAATAGAATAGAATAGAATAGAATAGAATAGAATAGAATAGAATAGAATAGAATAGAATTCTTTATTAGCCAAATGTGATTGGATACACAAGGAATTTGTCTTAGTGCATACGCTCTCAGTGTACATAAGGAGAATAAAATACATTCATCAAGAATAAAAAGATACAACACTTAGTGATAGTCAATGTTACTAATAAGCTATCAAATCGTACTAGGAAACAAATAAAAACAATATAATTGAAAGATACACGCAACATGTTTATAGTCATAAGTGGGAGGAGATAGGTAATAGGAAGGATGAGAAGAATAGTAATAAAAGCCTTAGTAAATTAGTTTGACAGTGTTGAGGGAATTATTTGTTTAGCAGAGTGATGGCATTCAGGATAAAACTGTTCTTGTGTCTAGTTGTTCTGGTGTGCAGTGCTCTATAGCGTCGTTTTGAGGGCAGGAGTTGAAACAATTGATGTCCAGGATGTGAAGGGTCTGTAGATATTTTCACAGCCCTCTTTTTGACTCATGCAGTATACAAATCCTCAATGGAAGGCAACAAAGCCAATAATCCTGCTGGCTAAGGATGCTAACATCCATAGTTCTCTACCTTAAGGAGAAAAACTCTCCCCAACTCAGGATGGAGGAGATTAGTAGAGGACCTCTTTATGCCTAACCAAATTCATGTGTGCGGAAGGACGAACTTCCCACAACTTACAGGAATGACTGAATCATTTCAAGATCAGTTAAAAAGATATGAGGTTCACATCTGAAGCAGACACAACCCTCTATTTTTGAAGCCAGCCATCACGGACTGTAAACCATAATTATGGCTTAGCAGAACATGAGTAGTCCAGCCACAGAGGATTCTTCGACAAGTCATGCTTCAAACAAACCATAGCCGGTTTACACATCACACCCTAAATCAATATTTGGGTTTTTCGAGATAGGATCTGCAAACCCTATCCATTCAAGGTGGCAAGGCATGACAAAATGCACCATCTAGTCATAAAATCATGGGGGTTGGAAGGGACCATGGAGGTCTTCTATTCCAAATTAACAAGGATTTATTCCAGGTAAAAGGTAAAGATAAAGGTTCCCCTCGCACATATGTGCTAGTCATTCCCGATTCTAGGGGGCGGTGCTCATCTCTGTTTCAAAGCCGAAGAGCCAGCGCTGTCCAAAGACATCTCCATGGTCATGTGGCCGGCATGACTCAACGCCAAAGGCACACGGAACGCTGTTACCTTCCCACCAAAGGTGGTCCCTATTTTTCTACTTGCATTTTTATGTGCTTTCGAACTGCTAGGTTGGCAGAAGCTGGGACAAATAACAGGAGCTCACCTCATTACGCGGCACCAGGGATTCGAACCGCTGAACTGCCAACCTTTCGATCGACAAGATCAGCGTCTTAGCCACTGAGCCACCGTGTCCCATTATTTATTTGAGAAGCCAATGTTAATCAAACCCTGGCTTACAGCATAGCATGAGACCCGTTTAAGTCTTCTTCCCAAAGTACTAATGGATGAGACATAGAGGTAGCGGAGAAGATGACTTCTCCTATCTCTCGCAAGTCTTTCAAAAACCTAGATACTTTGTTATGTAAGACTAGTGTCAGAGTTAGTCATTTAATTTGTCTGGTTGTTTAAAGCATCAAGGGTTTTTTAGTCCGCAGATCTCTCTCTTCCTCTTTAAATCCATTTGTTCTTGAGCTACCAGGAAGCTGTGAACTTGAGTGATGGGAATTTCGTTAGTTTTGTTAGAGCCCCCGTCTGCCTGCCTGCCTGTTCTCCTCTTCCATTATCACTTCCTTAGTTGCACCAATGGGCAGCATGCGTTGCATGAAAGCACCCACTGGCAGCCGGCCAGTATTGCCTCAGCCACACACCATTGCAAAATAAATAATTCGTTGGAATATGTGGCAAGCAGGAGAATGTCTATGAAGATCTGGAGTAGGAAGACAGCAGGCTCCGATGTCTGCCTCTTGCCCATGGAACTGGAAATCTGGTCATTTCAAATTATTACTTCTCTTAAAAAGATTTGCAGTTGCTTTTTTGCCTTGATCAATTGTCTAGCAGGCCCTATCTTTGATCTAGAGGTCCTCTGGGGGTCAGGATGGATTTCTGGATCACAGGAATCCAGAAACTGCTTTGCAGAGTGAGAATATTTATTTAATAAATAAATTTAAATAAGTAAACCCAGAATAAAGCTACCTCTTCTCCAAGCTGCCTCTGTGGTGCTTGGCTATGGGAAAGTATGAATAACAGAATGACAGAGTTGGAAGGGAACTTGGAGGTCTTCTAGTCCAACCCCCTGCTCCAGCAGGAAACCTATCCTATACCATTTCAGACAAATGGTTGTCCAACCTCTTCTTAAAAACTTCCAGCAGAAGTTTTTAGAATGCAGGACTGCAGGCTAACTCACTGTTCACTCTAGGAGTTCAATTCTGAGCAGCTCAAAGTTGACTCAGCCTTCCATCCTTCCAAGGTTGATAAAATAAGGACCCAGATTGTTGGGGGAAACATGCTGACTCTGTAAACCGCTTAGAGAGGGCTGAAAAGCACTGTGAAGCGGTATATAAGTGCTATTGCTATTCACAACTTCTGGTGGCAGGTTGTTCCACTGATTAAGTAATTTTGAACAGTCACTAAACGAATGTTTGTAAACCAAGGACTACCTGTACTGTTTTATATTTTAACATGTTATTGTACACTGCCCAGAGTCCAACTTGGAGGGAGATGGAACGGTGCAGAAATGTGAAAAATACATGAATAAAAATCCAGATCAATGTTTCCTCAGCGGTTGTATCTATGTGTTTCCAGCAGCATGATGTTCCTACTTCCCACTGCCATCCCGGCACCCAGTCCTGATTTTGAGAAATATTTAAGTCTGTTGTCCCAAAGGTGCTTTTTTTTAAAAAATGGACTTTTTTTTGCCAGAAAGTCAGGGGTAGACTGCTGGGAGTTCTCAGGGGTTCGGGAGAACCTCTAGCTAAGATTCTGTGCAGTTCGGAGAACCCCCAAATCCCACTCCTAGCTGGCCTCGCCCACCCCACCCCTCCTAGGAGTCCGCACACGGCCTGTTTTGGATTCAGGTAAGTGCAGGGCGTGCGCGGAGGCTCGGGGAGGGCAAAAAACGGGCCTACCGGAAGTTCGGGAATGCCGTAAACGGAATTTCTGGCCTCCAGAGCCTGGGGAGGCCATTTTTACCCTCCCGGAGGCTCAAGGAAAGTCTCTGGAACCCATGGAGGGCAAAAACTGTTGTGGTGAAGGAGGCCTACTAGGCCACGCCCACCCAGCAACCGGGCAGAGGACCCCTTGCTAAAATTTTTGAAGCCCACCCCTACAGAAAGTCCAGTTACTTCTTGAAAAACCACCTTTGGCACAACTACAACCTGGATGACTAAGAATCTCCATAGACATTTAAGTCTGTTCATGCAGATTTCTTTTCAGGCTTAAAGGCCCAGCTGTTGATTTGCAATGCTCTCTCATTGTAATATATCTTTACTAGACATTTTACAAAAAAATACATAAACAGGGAAGGAAGAAAAGAACAAAAAAAAAAAAAAACAGAGATAAAAGAATAGGCTACACATGAGTCAACAAGGGATTTACAAATGTCATCGAGACTATAATTTTCTAGCATACTGTGAATGGTTGTGAATAACTGGATATATTATGTCATTTTAAAAGCTTGACAACCGCTATTAAGCTATGAGCAAAGCGTAAATACCAGGAACCAGGAGAAATCCACGAGCACGTAAACTGCAATAAATCGTGTCGTACTACTAAAAGATGATTATTTGGGATGTTTTATAAAATTAAAATTCAGACTTCATGTGGAGAGAAACCCAAATGTTGGACACGGTACAAATCCAAACGGAATTGCCAATTCCGTTCCTGTGCAATTTCCTCAACCCCCAAACCTCAGGCTTGGAAATTTTTCTTCCCTCCTTAGCAAAAAATCCCAGAGAAAGTTACTACAGGGGGCTGAATTTGATAGACTTCGCATAACTTGTCATCTGGAGATGTCCAGATTTGCACCAGGCTGGGCTGAGGAATTTTCACCTCAGACTGTTTCCATTGGTGCCCATGGCTGCAACCCAGGTTGCTTAAAGGCTTCTCCAGAGTAGCGTTTCTCAACCTTGGCAACTTCAAGAAGCTGGGAATTCAACTCCCAGAATTCCTCAGTCAGTATGCTGGCTGGGGAATTCTGGGAGTTGAAGTCCAAACCTCTTAAAATTGCCAAGTCTGAGAAACACCTGATGGGCTGTCTGCTAAAATAAAGCCAGGCCACGACACACACTTGAAAGTAAATCAGGAAGCCTGTAGTTGTGAAGTCTGCCTGACAAGAACAAAGACTGCATATTCACAAGAAATATGCAGGTGTAAAGCTTGTAACAATTCTCTGTAGTTAGAAAGCTGATAAAAGTAACAAAGAGTTAGGCAACTTGCAGACCTCAGCTAAAAGTTAGGAATAGAGATGGCCTGCAGCAAATAAAATGTGCATTAAATAACTTCTGGGGCATTCATTAGCCAAGGCTTAGGAATAAGGACAGCTAGAGACCAATAGAACAAATTGTAGAATTATTACTAAAATGTTTACTAGATGATATTTCTTATCACCTTGTCCCGTCTTCTCCTTTAGTGAAAATGTATAAAGCTTTCTTAATCCTTTGTTCTTGGCTCTCTTGGCATTTTGGCCAGGAGCCTTTTTCCTTGGGGTACCCCAATAAAAAGCAACACCTGCACCTCGTGTCTGGCATCGTTCATTGGCCTCGGCACCAGGCTCTGACCCGAATTGGGGACGACACACCGCTCCAGAGAGTTAGCAACAGAATGCATGCAAGGGTTTTCTGAGGAAGGAGAGGCTCAACAAATGCTAAATCGTGCCTGGTTCCTGAGCGGGGTGAGGCGGGGGCTGCACTTAACCCAAACAAACCCCAGAGACTTTTAGCCGTAGAGCAAAGCTCCTCTTATCTTACTCCACACCCTCCTGTTGAACAGACCACCTTGAAACAGCTCCTCTGTGGTCCCTTGCTGGCAGCCGTTCAGCTCAGGGAATTGGAAGCCCGCCAGGAAGGAAAACATGCATTTAGGATAACAGCAGCCAAGCTAACATAGGAAACAGTTGCCCACAATGAGGCCGGCTTTTTGTGACTGCCTGGGCCGTAATCAACCATCATCGTTGCCTTCTATAGAGAAGTTTTGTCTTGGCTACGGCTCACTACTTTGAACTGGGGAAATTTGCTCAAATTCACTCAAATTTGCATCTTAAAAAGAAAAAGGGGGGGGGGAGGAATCAGCAAACAACCAGCCAGGAACAATCCAGGCCCAATCCTGCTCCTTACCAGGTTTTTCAAAAGTGCCGTCACTTCCCTGGTGAAAACAGCAAGGTTGAGGAAGCCCGTGGACAGTTCGTGGTTGTTCTGAGAAAGGTGATTATTGCCAAAGTTCTCCAGGGTTTCACTGTATTGTTCCTCGTTTTCCACGTGAGCTGAGGAAATAAACAGGAGAGGGGAAATAAAGGTGAGGGTGGAAGATCTCTGGAGGTCCGAGATTCTCCTCGGCATCAGCACGAACATGAATTAAATGCATCGGAACGGAAGAACCAATCCATCTTTTTTTTTTTTTTCCTGTGGATTAACTGCTCTTTTTAGGGCAATAAAAGGAAGCAAATGACAACGCATAAATTGCTTGATTACTTTTGCACAAGTGGCTTGTTGGAATTCTTGCAGGTGATTCTAGAGAAGTGATCTGATAAAGCGATCCCTTCGTATTTTTAAAGTGGCTAAGGCGCTGAGCTTGTCAATCGAAAGGTCGGCAGTTCAGTGGTTCGAATCCCTAGTGCCGCGTAACGGGGTGAACTCCCGTGACTTGTCCCAGCTTCTGCCAACCTAACCGTTCGAAAGCACGTAAAAAAGGCAAATAGAAAAATAGGGACCACCTTTGGTGGGAAGGTAACAGTGTTCCATGTGCCTTTGGCGTTTAGTCATGCTGGTCACATGACCACAGAGACGTCTTCGGACAGCGCTGGCTCTTCGGCTTTGAAACGGAGATGAGCACTGCCCCCTAGAGTTGGGAACGACTAGCACATATGTGTGAGGGGAACTTTTACCTAGTATTTTAAAACAAGACATACAAACTATAGGTAGTCCTTGATTTAAAACAGTTCGTTTTCTGACAAAATGTGGAAAGTGTGATTTAGGACCGTTTTTCAGAGTTACGACCTTTGCAGCATCCCCATGATCATATGATCAAAATTCAGATGCTTGGCAACTGCTTCATAATTATGACCGTTGCTGTGTCCCAAGGTCATGGGAATCTCCTTTTGCGATCTGCTGACAAGCGAAGTTGACGGGGAAGCCTGATTCTCTTAACAACCGTGGCAAGGAAGGTCATAAAACAGGGCAAAGCTCATCTAACAAATGTCTCACTTAACAGCAGAAATTTGGGGATCAAATTGTGGCCGTAAGACAAGGACAACCTGTAGTTGGGTCCAGTGGGAGGATTCAATGTTTTTTACTACCCGTTCTGTGAGCGTGGCTTGGTGGTCATGTGATTGAGTGGGTGTGACTGGGTGGTCATGTGACTGGGTGGGTGTGGCCAATTCAACATCACTCATGTCAAGGGGTGCTTCGCCCAGCCACTCCTTGTCACCCCCGGCCTCAACGTATCTCTAGTTCTGTAAAAACGTTGTTCACCTTTTTTTGACTTTATTATCTGCACCTACATACTATAGATGTACTTTCATGGACCACTGAAAGGAGGAAATGGCTCACATGCTTTGCCCAAGAGTGTGATAGGCAGGTCACAAAACAGGGTTTTGAGGGGCTGCCACAAAGAAGGGGGAAAGCAGAAGAAGGCAAAACAAGAAGCAATGGATGGAAACTGAACAATGAGAGAAGCAATCTAAAACTAAGGAGAGATTTCCTGACAGTGAGAACAATTAATCAGTGGAATGGTTGCCTCCAGAAGTTCTAGATGCTCCCACACTGGATTTTTTCCAGAAGAGACTGGACAGCCATTTCTCTGAAAATGGTATAGGAAGGGTCTGAAAAGAAGAGAAGCCAAATCAACTCCCCAGTTTGCGGTATTGACTTTGAGGAGTAAATCACAGCAGCAGACCAACATTGTAAGGCCCTGAAGGGAGGCTAAGTTATCGCAGGCTACCTAGGAATCTAACCCCCAATTTAACAAGTAACCTGAGGAAACAAGCAGACATTCCTGGCTGCTGAGAAGGAAACCAGCTGTCAAGGAATGTTTATAAACGGTGTAGCCACTGCAGGAAAAGCAGAAAAGTTTGAGACGTCTAAGGAGAGAAGGCGATAAGGAAAAAGAAAAGGATCAGGAGAAGTTTGTGAGACGGAAAACAGGAGAAGGGAGGTTTATTGGCTTCAGCTGAACATCAGGGTCAATCTACATTTAATGACAATACAGGTAGTCCTCGACTTACAACAGTTCATTTTAGTGACCGTTCAAAGTTACAAGGGCAATGAAAAAAGTGACTTAGGACCATTTTTCACACTTAACGACTTTTGTAGCGTCTCCATGATCATGTGATCAAAAGTCAGATGCTTGGCCACTGCTTCATACTTATGACCATTGCAGTGTTCCAAGGTCATGTGATCATCTTTTGCGACCTTCTGACAAGCAAATCAATGGGGAAACCAGATTCACTTAACAACCATGTTAGTAACTTAAGAACTGCAGTGATTCACTTAACAGCAGTGGCAAGAAAAGTTGCAACGTGGAGCAAAACTCACTTAACAAATGTCTCACTTAACACTTAGAAAATGTGGGTATGGTCGTAAGTCAAGGACTGCCTGTATATAGATCAGTGTTTTTCAAAGCTGATAACTTTAAGATGGGTGAACTTCAACTCCCAAAATTCCCCAATGGTGAATTCTGGGAGTTGATGTCTACATCTCGTAAAATTGCCAAGTATGAAAAACGCTGATTTAATCAATGAGAGACTACAAGTAGTTCTTGATTTAGAACATAATTCAGCCTGGAATTATGATCCTTAGTCATGGCAGTTGTTCAGTAAGTATTACGTAACTACATCCAATTTTACAGTCTTTTTTTGCAGCAGTCATTAAGCAAACGAAGTGATTGTTAAATGAGTCCATTTTCCCCAATGGGCATTTTCTTGCCAGAAACCAGAACTAAATACCAGAAAAAAAAGCACACACCAAAAATCACTATCGTGTGAACTCAGGATGCCATAAATGCAAGGTTTTACTTTAGAGATTCTGCTTGAGGGTATGAGAGTTGTAATTATTCTTCTCCTTGGAAGGGGCAGTTTTTGCCTAGGTTTTGTCGGGTGTCAGCAACCCACGACTCTGGAGCCGCATGCGGCTCTTTCATCCCCCTGCTGTGGCTCCCTATCGGCTGAACCCACCACTGGCTGGCCCCGCCCCTCGCTCTCCCTTTCCAGTCACTCCTCGCCTGGCCTGAGAGAGACAGAGAGAAAGAGACAGAGAAAGAGACACACACAGAGAGATACCTGTTTCCCACAGAAAACACTGGGAGTCACAAAACCTCGGTAGGCGTCGCTGGGGGGGGGGGTGTCATGTGACTGGATGGGAGTGATGTTGAATTGACCACACCCACCCAGGTTTTGTGGCTCCCGGTGTTTTCTTTTCTGTGGGAAATGGGTCCAAATGGCTCTTTTTGAGTGTTTAAGGTTGCAGACCCCTGGCCTAGGTCTTGAAGATGGCTTGGATCAGTGTTTTTCAACCTTGGCAATGTTCAGTTGTGTGGACTTCAACTCCCAGAATTCCCCAGCCAGCGTAGGACTCCCAGTTGAAGTCCATACACCTGAAAGCTGCCAAGGTTGAGCCACGCTGGCTTTGGTGCATAGAGCTTAACATACAGCTGCTTTCGAGCCTGTATCTACAAAGCCAGATGGCACATCACAAGCCCACACCCCTCCCACGGGTGATCAGCCAGATGGCCTCTTAGGCTGATGCACCAGTTGATAAAGAGCATTAACTTACTGAGCCCAGAAACATGAATCGCTTTCACATATTTCCTGATCCGCTGAAGAATGGCTTGGTCTCCATCCAAACTCTGAAATACAAAAAGGGGAAAATTGCAAAAGCTTTTAAATGTTGGGTTAATGTAGCTAATTTAAGCCCCTCTTCAAAAAAAACCCCCAAAGAACTGTACGTTACAAGTATTCACTTAACCAGTGGAGGAGTTTACACACAAAATGAAATCTTGAAGCACTCTAGCTGGTTAACCCAACAGTGTGTATCTGTCACCATCTCCTTGCCAACTTAGCAATAGCATAGCAATAGCATTTAGACTTACATACCGCTTCACGGTGCTTTACAGCCCTTTCTAAGCGGTTTACAGAGTCAGCCTATTGCCCTCAACAATCTGGGTCCTCATTTTACCCACCTCGGAAGGATGGAAGGCTGAGTCAACCTTGAGCCTGGTGAGATTCGAACTGCCAAATTGCAGGCAGCCGGCAGTCAGCAGAAGTAGCCTGCAGTACTGCGTTCTAACCACTGTGCCACCACGGCTCTTAGCAGTTTGAAAGCATGCAAATATTATAAAGGAGGTATAAACTTACATTAACCTAGCCAGGATGGTTGAATGTATGGTGACCTTGCATCAACTGCAAAAGATCAAGGCCAGAAAGGGGTTCTTTTCTACCCAACTTCAACCTCTCGGGGGCCTTCTCCTTGACAATAGTAGAAAACTCGATGCTAGGCTAGTAAACATTTAAAGACAACTTTTTCACAGTATTATTTCTAACCCAACGTTGAAGTCCACAATTCTTAAAGTTGCCAAGGTTGGAGACCCCTGCTCTAAACAACAATAGGCACAACTATACAAGTGATAAGAAAAAGAGGGAAAAGGCTTGAATCAGCAAAGAGTTAATTGCAGTTTGGCAAAGCTTCAGTCATGATAACAGTCCTGGAAAATACTTGAGGAGTGTAATCGTTGGCAGGAGGGATAATCATTGTTTAGGGTCAAACAAGGGATAACATTTGCAGTAATGAATAAGAGAAGACGGTTTCCCCACTGTTGGGAAAGTCAGCTTGGAAAGAGAACTGGTACGGTATCGGTTCTTCGATGGCCTCCTTTTATCCAATGAAAGTTTAGCATTTTGGCTCCTGATTTTAGACTGTATTTTTATGATGACTATGATCATGATTTATCACTTATAGCTTTTATGTACACCGAGAGCTTATGTACCGAAGACAAATTCCTTGTGCGTCCAATCACACTTGGCCAATAAAGAATTCTGTTCTGTTCTGTTCTGTTCTGTTCTGTTCTGTTCTGTTCTGTTCTGTTCTGCTCTGCTCTGCTCTGCTCTGCTCTGTTCTGCTCTATTCTGATTTTAGACTTTGGTAGAGGTGCAGGGAAAGGGGGCGCAACGGCTCAGGAGTTAAAGATGTTGAGCTTGTCAGCTGAAAAGCTGACAGCCAGGTTCAAGTTCTGAGCATTGTGCACCCACCCCGCCCCCCCCCGCCCAGGAGTTTCCACGCGGCCTGTTTTGGATGCAGGTAAGTGCATGGCGCAAGGGAGGGCGAAAAACGGGCCTACCAGAAGTTCGGGAGGGCCAGAAACAGGGCCGTTTCCGGCCTCCAGAGGGCTTCAGGAGCCTGGGGAGGCCATTCTCGCCCTCCTGGAGGCTCAAGGAAAGCCTCCAGAGCCCAGGAAAGGCAAAAATGCCCTCACCATGGTGCAGGAGGCCAACTAGGCCACGCCCACCATGGCCATGCCCACCCAGCAACCGGGCAGAGAACCCCTTGCTAAAATTTTTGAAGCCTACCCCTGGATGTGTCCATATCATTCTTTGGCCATGATAAAGAGGCTGTTTTGCCACCGGCCTCTTCTGAAATATATTTCCACTTGCCAATCAGATCTGTAACTACTATCCATCCTTCCAGACAAAGCATTGGGTTGCAGGACCTGTCCCATCAAGTCTGCTTGCAGAATTGACCCGTGCTAGCTGCATTTTTCACAAGAGAAATCCCCGCCAGCTATCTGTTTGCATCCCTACTATTATTACCACCGTATTATTGTGGGTTTTGTTGTTGCAATTTAAAGAATAAAAAAGAAATATCGAAGCCTGGATGCCAAATACCATTTTTAATTCTTGAAGTCTGCCTAAATAAAAGCCCCACAGGAAATAAAAACATAATAAATATAATGCTTTTCAGTATGCCAGCTCAGTGTATAATTTTTTAAAGTTATAAGACTCTTCAAAATATTAGTCAGATGAGCAAAGAGGTGGCTGTGGCCAAGGGATACAGTTGGTAAGGGGCTCCTTCATTCCCTTTTCTCTGTTAAAGAGGCCTCTGTTTCGTCGGGCCCTGAAAACTTATTTATTTCACCTAGCCGGGCTGGCTTGATCCCACTGTTTTGGTTAAATTTAATAGATTTTAATTGGGTTGTTTTAAATTGCGGCCAAAAATATTTAATCATTTTAAAACTGTTTTTAAATTTTGTATGTTCTGTTTTATTCTGGCTGTTCACCGCCCTGAGTCCTGCTGGAGGAGGGCGGTATACAAATTAAAATAAATAAATAAATAAATAAAATAAAGAGGCATCACCTAAACTCTAACACCAGATTAGACCAGGGGTGGCCTTCAAAAATTTTAGCAAGGGGTTCTCTGCCCAGTTGCTGGATGGGCGTGGCCTAATCAGCTGTTTTTGCCCTCCCCGGGCTCCGGAGGCTTTCCTCGGCCTTCCTGAATTTCTGGTAGGCCCGTTTTTCGCCCTCCCTGAGCCTCCGTGCACGCCCTGCACTTACTTGCATCCAAAATGGGCCACGAAGGGACTCCTGGGAGGGGAAGGGAGGGGTAGGCGGAGTCAGCCAGGAGTGGGATTTGGGGGTTCTCCGAACTGCACAGAATCTTAGCTAGAGGTTCTCCCGAACTCCTGCAAACCCCCAGCAGCCCATCCCTGGATTAGACTTAATTTACGTTCCTCTGCACAAGAATTTACTCCAGTGTTTCTCCATGCTGGCTGGGGAATTCTGGGAGATGAAGTTCACACATTTTACAAGATGCCAAGGTGGAGAAACACCGATCTATTCCAACTAGCAGGGTCTCTGGCAAAGAAATCCTTCCCCATCTGCTGCCGATTCTCTTTTGCCTGGAGCTGAACCGGGAATTCATGGCCTGCAAAAGGTCAGAGAGGCTGTGAATTGGACCCAAGCTACCTGCGTCAGCCTCCAGTTTCTCCTGTACCTCACTTGACAGGAGTTAACCTGGGCAAGGCAGTCCCAATAGCAGAAGTTTTGGCATGCCTGATCTTGTTAGAGGAACTGCGGGAGAATCCAGGGAGGGGTGTCTCTCCCAGGTGGATCACGTGCACAACGGAGACAAGCTGTCGGTTGGGGTATTATTATCCAGCAGTGCAAGATCCATCCAGAGGAATCAGCCTGGAAGGAAGGAATCATCACTGCAACACAGTGCAAATCTTGCAATGCTTTCTATCGTTCTGTTAGGAGAGTTATATGCAGTTCTCCACTTACAAACTTTTGATTAGTACAACCGTTTGAAGTTGTAATGCCAATGAACAAAAGTGACTTACAACCGAGCCTCGGACTTATGACCGAAGCACAGTGGTGAAATGTAAAATTTGTTATTACCGGTTCTGTGGGCGTGGCTTGATGGGGGGGGTAATGTGACTGGGTGGGTGTGGCCAACTTTTTATTTTTATTTTTAAAAGCATTTTTTCTACAACCTCTTTAGCCGAAGAGGTTGTGAAAAAAATGCTTTTAAAAGGCTCTGACAATCCCAGCTGAGTTGCATGATCGTCAGAGGCTTTTTTGTCTTTTAAAAACATTTTTTCTACAACCTCTTCGGCTGAAGAGGTTGCAAAAAAAATGCTTTGAAAAGCCTCTGACGATCCCAGCTGAGCCGCACAATCATCAGAGGCTTTTTTTTTTTTTTACTTTTAAAAGCATTTTTTCGGCCGAAGAAAAAATGCTTTTAAAAGTTAAAAAAAAAAAAAAACCCGATGATCGCACGGCTCAGATGGACGGTGTGGGGAGGGCGCAGGGATTTTTGCTACCGGTTCTCCAAACCACCCACCACCATCGCTACCAGATGGGACAATCCGGTCTGAACCGGGAGCATTTCACCCCTGCCGTAGCAGCATCCCCATGGTCACATGACCAAATTCCGGGCGCTTGGCAACCAGCATGTATTCCTGATGGCTGCAGATTCCTAGGGTCACAAGCAAAGTCAATCAGGGAAACCAGATTCGCTGAATGATTCTGTGATTTAACTAAACCACTGTGGCGGAAAAAAGGTTGCACAATCGGCCACAAGTCATTTAACAAACCCCTCACTTAGCAATGGAATGTTTGGTCCCAGATGTGGTTGCAAGTCAAAGGCTACCTGGAATCTCCTTAATACTTTCAATTTTTCAAATATCTTTTCCAATCTGGGCACGCCTGTAACTCTCTGCCTCCGTCAAGCACTCCTAAAGGGTTTCCTGACAGAACAATTAATTCCTTTCCTGACAGAACAATTAATCAGTGGAACGACTTGCCTCCAGAAGTTGTGGGTGCTCCAACACTGGAAGTTTTTAAGAAGAGATTGGATAGCCATTTGGACTAGGAGACCTCCAAGGTCCCTTCCAACTCTATTCTGTTATTCTGTTTCTCCACATGCTGGCTGGGGAATTCTGGGAGCTGAAGTCCACACATCTTCAAGCTGCCAAGACTGAGACACACTGGTCCCCAACCTTGGCAACTGGCTGAGGAATTCTGGGAGTTGAAGTCCACAAGTCTTAAAGTTGTTAAGGTTGGAGACCCCTGCACTGGTCTACTCGGTTGTCCTCTTTTCATGAATAATGGCTTGCACAAGTTTACAAACAAAGTTGGTTAAGGTAAAACAGACTAATATAGCAAGATCAAGGGACTGCTTCCGTCTGACAGTCTTACTGTAATCATCAATGATTCGAAAGGGATCTCACTTAAATGAGAATTGGGGTGTACAGTACACGTTGTATTTTGAGCGTCTTAGGGACTTTTTCATTGTTGTTTTGGATGTTCCTGCCCACAGAAAACAAGCCAAACAGCTGGCCTGATGATCCAT